GGGGTTGGGTCATGACATCTATAAAGTATATCATGAATTTATAATTATTTTTTTAAACTATTACTGATTTGTTATTTCTCCAAAAATAAAACTTCCCCTGCACAAAACATATTTTGGTCCACTTGTTTAATCTTTTCGGTTGTTTTTTTTTACAATAATTTGTTGGGATTTATAGATCATTATGGTCCGTTTGGGAAGAAAAAAGCCAGGCTTTTTTGGCTAAAATAGCCACAAAAAACAAAACATCAAAAAAGGGCAAATTACATATACACCCCTCGAGGTTTGGCTAAATTACAGATACTCCCCTGAGGTTTCGGAAATTACATCCCGCCCCCTGAGGTTTGTATTTTCATAACAATTTGCCCCCTGAGGTTTATATTTCATAACAAATTACCCCCTAATTTCTTATGCAAATATAGCATTCAGGGGGGAATTCGTAATTTCTCAAACCTCAGGGGGGCATCTGTAATTTAGCCAAACCTCGAGGGGTGTATATGTAATTTGCCCTAAACAAATAGGGTTCAGAAAATAAACCACATAACTGAAACTTTTATAAAACATAACTTTTATTAATATACTAATAAAGTATAACTTTTATAAAATAGATTTTGGTAAGTCAAAACATACGTAAAATATATTTTGGTAACACTCAAGGTATAATATAACTCACCTTAAATTAATTCCTTTATCCTTTCTTTCCACCAACACTCAAGATGCTCACCCGTGCGTCCTCTCTTATACCTTTTTTTCTTTCCGTTGCCTTAACTCGCCACTCTTCCTATTTATAGGAAGGTGAAACGTGGGTAGTAAGTCTCAGAAATTTCCGAAATTTGACGCGTGTAAAACTGAGTCCACCCTTATCCATTTTATTTATTAACTTGTTTGAATTCTATGATCATTGACTAATCCGGCTTCTTGGAACTTAGACATGTTTTGACCATTTGTTTTTAATTTAAAAGTTATTACTTTCTTTGGTAATTTAAGATGAATCCTAAAATTATATATGACTATAAATTAGGTTCACGTCTAAAACCTCACTATTCAACTATAAATCACCACTTACCACTTACTAAAATATTTAATGTGTAATGTTTCACGACGTATTTCTTTAACCATAAAATTCCCAATCTCCTAAATTATGCCTTTATTTATTATTATCATTGTCACTACATGTATATATATATACTTATTTTATTATTATTATTATTATTTATTTATTATTTTTAATTTCTGAATTCTATTTATTGAAATGTTAAGTTTAAAACATTCGGGTGTTACACGTGTAGTGGAACCTGTGCAAGAAATTAATACGCATCCGTTAATTTGTTTTTCTTTTCTTCCTGTCGTTTTTTTTTTTTCTGATGGTCGATCGCTGCATAATAAATAATAAAATCCTATGGATGTACTCTTTTTTTTAGTAAAATGAAGTAGCTTTCAGTTTAATTATTTTTATTTTCGTTTGCCTCCGCTTGCGCAGTTTAATTTACAACGATTAGAATAAGTTAATAAGCTGCGATTCTAACCCTAAACCCCTGGAATTGGATCGTGACACATTTTCTTCAATTTGCCTATTTTTTCAAGCGTCACTGACATGCTCGTAAATATAAGTGAATAATAGTACATATTACTTTCTTTTTCTTTTTTTTTTGAATAGTACATAGTACTAGGGTTGTACAAAATATCGCTTAATTCGCTAAATTGTATCTTGATCCGTATCAATCGGCACCGCTTTAATAGCTAACCATGGTTTAAACTTTAAAATTTATAATTCGCCAGCCGAACTGTTTCGTTCCGTTATAGTTAATACACGTATATTCTTTAACTTCAAATGAAATATCAATGTAAAAATGAGTGTGAGAGATATTTAAAATATGAAATTTATTACAAATTAGTAGTTATATATATGAAATATATTATGTAAAATTACTTTGTATTATATATCTAAAAATTATTATACAAATTAGTGTTATATATTATGAAAATGTATGATAATTAGTTAGAATATTTTTCAATCTGTCAATCTGCCAAAAATCGCCCAAACCGCAATTTGTCAATCCGTTAATCCGCCAACCCGCTATTCAGTTTGTAATTTTACTCTCAAACCGTTCAAACCGCACCGCGCACACCCCTACATATTACCATTTTCTTCAATTTGTCTACTTCTTCAAACTGTTTTTTCTTTTAAGCAATGTTTGGTTTTGACTTTTGACTAAAAAAAAGTACAAAAGATAAAAATTAACTATTAATTCAAACCATAATAATTACATTTTTTCTTTCACAAAAGTCAAAAATAAAAACCAAACTAAATTAAAAAAGCCAGACTAAAATAGCCAAAAAGCCAAGTTATTTTGGGTTCATTTAGAAAGTGGGTTGACTTTTTGACATTTTACCTATTTTAGTCTGGGGCTAAAAAACTTATTTGGGAATGACTTTTTATCTTTTTTGACTTTTTGTGAGAGAACGAATGTAACAATTATGTGTTGAATGCGATATTTTATATTATTGAGTAAAGAGCCTATATTTTTGTTTTTTGGTAACTAAAATAGTTCCAAATCCAGCCCAACCCCTCTCTCTAAACAAAGCCTTCAGCTCTTCCCAAATGAAGACTTATGTTGATTTTTTTTTATTCTCAAAATAAAAAATATTAGTGAATATTATTTTATTTTTTAATTTTAAAATTGTATATCTAAATTCATTATTTTTTTTTCAAAAATCTAATTGTAAATATAAGAATAATTATAGCATTAATTTAAAAAAGGGTAAATTACATTTACTTCCCCTGAGGTTTCTGACAAATACAGGGACCTCCCTTGTGGTTTGAATAATTACAGTAACCTCCCCTACTTTACCTGACAATACCAAGATTCTCCCAATCCGTCAATTTTGCTCAAACGACGTTATTTGCTTATACAAAATGACCATATTACCCATTTACTTGAGCACAAAAAGACAAAAATACCCTTTAATATTTTTTTAACCTAATAATTTATATTGATCCTTTCCCTTCCTCAATTTACCAATCTAAACCCTCTGAAGAAATAAGAGAGAGAGAGAGAGAGAGAGAGAGAGAGAAAAGCTCTTATTCACCAGTGTCCCTTCTCTCCACTGTCTGCCACTGTCGTCTTTCCTTTTCCTCCTCTTCTTCTTCCTCCACTCCATTTCCGCCGTCCGTCGCTTACCGATTTGGGTTGACCGATGATGGCAGCAGCGTTGACCGATCTGGGTTTGTGACGGTTGGTTGCGATCTTGGTCATGATCGGAAGAAGAAAAAAAAGAGGAAGGAGAGGAAGAGAGAAGGGGAACGAACGGCGGGAGAATGAAATGGGGAAGATGGCATCAATTGATAAAAATGGGGCATTATCTCTTTTTGATTGCAAGGATGACAATGGTGAGCCTAAGATTGGGATAGTGTTGAAGAAATAGGAAACATAAGTTTTGCACACCAAGCATTCTGGTAGTCATTGATAGATGCAAAAGTTCATAAATCTTGCTGACTTGCATTCTATTCCTTTTTTCTTCTTTGAAACCAGATTTCATTAATTTTAGTTTAAACCATACTTTTTTCTTCTCTTGCATTCTCAACCATTGATTTTTGTTTAATCCATACAATTCCATTGTTACAATAGAACAGATTTATGAGCTTTATTTATTGTTGCTTGTAATGAAAAAGGAATTGAACATGATTGGCTTTATTCTTTTGGATTCTTTTTCATTAATTTTCATTTTCTCTGGCATGATGGTTCACAATACATTATAGATGCCAAAATCTAGACCAATTGAAACCCAATTTCATTATTGGGTTGCGGTAGATATGGACTATAGTTCTTTGAAATCTATTGGGTTATTTCTAATCTTTGAACAATGAATCTGTTTGAGAAGCATTTTATTTGAATTTTACTTTTATTGCCCGTGTAGCATGTATTCTTTGATTTTATTTTATTTTTTAAAAATTAATTTAGTTTATTTTTTATTTTTCATTTTAAATCTGGATGGCCTAATAATATGAATTTACAAATTTGTATGTATATGCTAAGGCCATTCTAGTTGTTTCTGTTTGCTGCATATTATAGTTCCCAAATATTATGAATTGTTACTTCTGCACAGAGACAAATCATGCTATTATGAAGTCTACTAGTTCTTACAATTTTTGTATAAATTTAATGTTGTGTTTGGAATGGATAATAAGGAGATGGAAGTGGTAAGGATTAGAGAGAGAGAGAGAGATGTGATGGCAGTAATGCTACCAGTAGAGGAGTGTGAGAGGAGGGAAAGGAAGAAGAGCAATGTTTGTTTGTGATGTTGTGGGTTGTTTGGTTACAAGGAACAAAGGGTAATTTTGGTATTTAGTCACCATAATATGCTGATGTAAGAAATTTTCATCACCTGTCTAACGACTAGTTAACAAAAGGATGGTTTGTATATATTGTTAGGTAAAGTAGGAGAGGTCACTGTAATTATTCAAACCATAGAGGAGGTCCCTGCTTTTATCAGAAACCTCAAGGGAGGTAAATGTAATTTACCCTTTAAACGATAGTAGTTGAATAATAGATCCATTATTTAGAAAATTACATTACTTTCACGTTTTTAATTTTTAGATTACAATTTTAAATTTAATGAGATAAAAAATGAATTTTAAAATTGAAGAGATAAAAAATGACACATTAAGCAAGTATTAGTGACCTATCTTAAAAAAAAAAAGAAGAAAAAAAACCCTAAATCTAAAATTGATGAGATTAAAAATGACACATTAAGCAAGTATTAGGGACCTACCTAAGGGGAAAAAAAAAAATCCTAAATCTAAAATTGATGAGATTAAAAATGACGCATCAAGTATTAGTGACCTATCTAAAAAAAAGAGAAAAAACCTAAACCTATCTAAAAAAAGAAAAAAAACCTAAATCTAAAATTGATGAGATTAAAAATGACACATTAAGCAAGTGTTAGTGACCTATCCAAAAAAAAGAAAGAAAAGAAAAAGCAAGTATTAGTGTGTAATTAACCCTAAATCAAAACAAAAAGCAGGAGGAAACAAAATCCAGCTTCTAAAAGCCCTAACAATGACAAATGCCCTAACAATGGTGTCTTGCCCACACCTTAGTCATACACTGTAGCAGTTGCGTAGATGATTCCTCGGCCTCCTATGCTTCAGAGGCGCTTCCTCTCCACCGCCACCGCCACCACAACCACCACCAACCACCGCCGCCGGTGGCCTGTAAAGCAAGTTACCAAGGCCAATTTCTCGGAGGCCTTAGACCAGATCAAGAACCACCTCGGCGACTCAGACTTCGTGGCCGTGTCGTTGCAGAAGACAGGTTCGTTCTCTTCTCCTTGGCACCGAGTGCTCCCCATTGACACCGCCGACACCGCCTATTTCAAGGCCAAATACGCCGCTGAGAGGTTTCAGGTTCTTCAGTTCGCCGTCTGCCCCTTCTCCATTAGAGCTTCCAAGGTCATCGCCCACCCGTAAGTACCCCATATATTCAACTACTGCATATATTTATTTTATATTTTTTGCATGATTTGGTGTATTTGGATTAGAATTGCTGAAGTGACAATGGGTAGTGAGTATGAGTCTGTTGAATGGTTGTACGTTAGATAATTGAGTCATACATAGTTGTGAGAGTTGCAAATAATTGTTTTTTTTTTTCTAATTAATGTGTAAATTGTTATAAGAGTAAGATGGAAATGGATGCAAAAATAGGAACTTGAAGTGGTAATTGTGGGGAACTGTTTATTTAATAGACACAGCTTCTCAGTGTTGATCTAGTGGTAAAAGGTTATACTCTATGAAGCACGGATACTTCAAAAAGGGAGATGTATCCGTATTGGATACTTATCGGATACTGATACTCCTTGGATATTCGTAGATACGTATTGGATATTTCTTAAACGTATCGGATATTTCTTAATTAATTTTTTATTAATTTTGAAGTATCGGATACTCGAAGTTACATATTACTTATAATATTTTGTTTAGCTCTTTGATAAGAGGAATATAGTGAGAGTTAAAGTAATAGAATTTGTCAAATTGATGTATCTTTATTATCTCCCTCACTTCTCTCTCGCTTTCTCACTCTCTCATGTTTTTTCTCTCTGGTCTCATTTTTTTTTGGTGTTGTGGCATGTAAGGATAATGTTTAATTTGCATTTGCTTTTGTTTTTGCTTTTACTTTTAGTTTTGGATGTTTTATGAATGTTTGAAGACTTTGAGGTTAATAGGAATCTCTCTCTTTATTTATTAATTTACTTTAAATTTTATTTTCATGCATATTACATTATTAAAATTATAAAAATATTTTTTTTTACGAACGTATCCCTGTCGTACCTATATCATACTTTCCAAATTTTGACGTATTGCCATATCCATATCCCCATATCGCCATATCTGTACCCATGCTTCCTAGGTTATCATTGATGACTTAAAAAAATATATTTGCTGAAATTTCTACTTAAGAATGGTTTTTTGACTTTAGCTAAGATCCTGTTATATTCACTGATGAAGGGGAACAAGTTGAAGCTATTGACCTTGAAGACTCTTAGTTTTATAGGAATCTTTCTTCTTTATCAAGTTGTCTTTTGCTTTAGGTTTTATTTTTATGCATACTGCATTACTAAAAATTGTAAAAATAATATTTTTTACGAACGTATCTCCGCCGTATCTGTATCCTAGTTTTTCAAATTTTGCCCTATCACCGTATCCGTATTGTATCGTATCCGTATCTGTATTCGTGCTTCCTAGGTTATACTTTAGTATAATTTCTAAAGGAAATGAAAAAATGGAGAGAGGAAACCACAACTAATCTCAGGTGATGGTTGACTGCAGCTTAACATATAATAGATGCAAGTTGACAAATGATATAATAGATTTAAAAAAATTTCACCTTTGTTAATGAGTTGTGCTATTTTGAATCTTCAATATGAAAGTTGGAAGGCTCAAATAAGAAATTAAAAGTTTGAGGGTCACAACAATAGTTTAAAACTTTTGTCCAAAAAAAAAAAAAAAAAAAAAAACAGTAGTTTAAAACTTGGAATTATTTTTATGGGTGGTTAGTGGAATGTTAATTGTTGTTGATTATCTCTTTTTCCTTAGAAATTTGAATTTTTCTATAAAAGTGGAGTAAAAGCAGTACTTGTGGCTCTTAACAGCTGTGTCATTACTAAGGTCCTCCTGAAGATTGTATATAGTTTTTGGAAAGCCTAAACAATCTTCTTCTTCTTCTTTTCGTTGTTTAAATGATGATTTATTTTTATCATTTGATAATTGATAGATGACCGTGTTTTATTTTTTTGGTACAGATACAACTTTCATCTCTTTCCAAGGGATGAGTTGAAAATAGGGATGCCCTCATATAGTTTTTCATGTCAGTCATCATACTTGACCTCTATGGCTCGAGAAGGTTTTGATTTCAATGCCTGTATATACAATGGTAAGGTACTTGTTTGAATTACTGGAGCAGAGATCTTATGGATGGATGATTATGGTTTTAATTGTAACCTTGTGATGTATTCTTTACATAGGAGAGTTCATTTCTTTACCTTGAAATTAAATGCTGAGAGAGAGGGAGGGAGCTGTTCTTTCAAACAATCATGTAATTCTTATTCTCCATGTATTTTTGAGTGGTGGAAGTCCCTGTCTTTCTTTAAGGGTTGGCCAGCATGTATCCCTTTGAAATATCCATTAGTATGATGATAAAGTTTCTATCCCTTCGTGAAGTGCTTGAAGAATTACCTGTTACTTTATTCAGAACTTTTATTTTGGGATCAGGTTGTAAATTTGCGTATGGGAGTCTAAGTTTTAACAATACCTATGGCTTCCAGAATTAATATGCCGATATGTCTTGGCAGCAGCCTCTGTTGGATTTTCAACCAGCGCTGTTGTAGAGTCTTTTTCCAAAGTGCTGTGGTATCTGTTTCGCTACCCCTTATTAAGGAGGCTTACACCAACTAATAAAGGGTTGCAGTCCGATGTCCTAGCACTTGTTTTACCCCTTATTAACAAGTACTTGCATGAGAATGCATGCAAACCTTGATGTTGCCTTTTAAACTATTATGATTTAATCTGTGTTTCAATTTGCCCATTTTTTTAAGCTCACACAAAATCTCTAATGTTAAACCTGAAGTGCCTTTTTTTTTCTTTTTCTTTTTTTTTTTCATTGCCTTGTACAGGCATATCATATTTATCCAGAGCACAAGAATCAGCTTCGAAAGACCGAATAGGGAACCCTGTGCCTAGTAAATATGTAATACAATCTTCCTCTGCCCTTTCGGTGGCTGATGCAGTTTTTGTTGAAAGGATCAAATCACGAGTTAGGCATTGGAGAAATGCATTTAAAGACACAAGCACAAGGGCTGAAGGTAAGGAAAATGTTGCATTACTTTCTTGTTACGTTTGATCTTGTTCCTGCATTCTAAACTATTTTCTTGTATTTGACAGAAGCTTTAATCAAATCCCTGAGAAAACTTATCTTAGGAAGTGAAGAGTATGGGTCCAGGCCATGCTTGAGCATAGATGTTTGCAGTGAACGTCAAGTGCAGCTTGCACTAGAGGTAAAAACTGAACTCTCATGCAACCATGCCACATGATTTGATGGAAGGAATAGCAGATTATTAATTACCTCCCTAAATATTGTTCTGATTGAGTTGCTCAGTAGTATTGTGAAATGTAATTGGTTTGGTTGCAGATGCTGAGAGATTTCTCTGAAGACCTTGTACCTTTATTAATTCCAACCAAGGGTGGGGAAACTCAGGCAGTTCGAGTTGTTTTGACAAGTTCAAAAGAGGACAAGGAAACTTTTGAGGTATACAGCAAACCATAATCATTGGTGATAATGCATGTTCAACCTTCAAATGGTCTATGTAATCATAGTTTTATTTAATTGATAGAGGGAGCTTCAAAATCTGGAAGATGAACAAAATAAGCGTGTTCGTGGCTTTCGAGAGGTGATCGATTTGATTTCTACTTCTCAGAAACCTGTTGTTGCCCACAACTCACTTAATGGTCTATCTCTTGAATGAACAACTTTCAGTCAATTTAAACTATACTGGCCAACGTATTTCCTTACATTTATTGATTTTCCACTCCTATTTTTTCCTTGGTGCAGATTTTACATTCATTTATTCAAAATTCCTTTCCTCACTACCTTCTAGCATGGATGAGTTCAGGTGCTCTGTGCGTTTGGTTTTCCCCCACATACTCGATGTCAACCATCTGATGAAGGAAATTGGCCTTATGAAAAAGGTGACCAATTTACCTGCAGCTATTTCGTATTTAAAAAGACGGTTCTTTGCGCCTATTGATATGGAGATTTCTCACCAAGGCAAGTCACTCTTACATACTTGTCTCTCATGCTTACAGCACAATCTGTTTTAAGTAGTATATTGATTGGAATATGTAGAAATATAATGTAAAGAGAAATAGAGAATTGTATAGATATTGATTGTATTATTAATTGATGTTTATTGATTTCAATTACAATGATTCATGATTCCTATATATAGAAGAGGGTGAGTGTGTAGTAAGTAAGGAGTATGTGAAGTGGATGTGGTAGTGGTGTAGTGGGTTAGGTTTAGTGGAGTAGGTGAGGTGGTAGTGGTGTAGTGGGTTAGGTTTAGTGGAGTAGGTTTAAGTGGGTGAAGTAGGTGGAGAGTAGGTGGATTTTAACAGAATATGCTTTCATGATTGGTTCTCTTGGTGACATGGAATTCCTGGGTATTTGCCAATATAGTTTTTGTCATATTTGGAGAATTGAAATTGCTACTAATTAATTGTATCTGATGTTTCACGAGGTAAACAGTAATTTCATGTTCCATTAACGGGCCAAGTTTCAATCTTTCAGATGATGCAAGTGAGAGCAAGATCCATGGCCATGATGTTCTGAGGATAAGTGAATTGTTTGCTAAACTGTGCTCTATTCTGAAAATTGCCCCTGTAACTCACGAGGATGAAAATGGCCATTTGCCTTCTGTACTCGAAGACTATACAAACATTTTCAATCCTTGCTCCACAAGTTCCCAAGACCACACTATTGATGAGGATGTCTCAGTTTGGACAGACAACAGAAGAAAAGTTGACAGTAAGGATTTGGTTTTCTTGTGGGGATTTAGAGGTGGGATGTCTGCCAGAACACTCAAGAAACTTCTCCATGATTCCCATGATGTGTTCTCTGAAGAATTTGATATTCGACTGCTGGATAAGAGTTGTGCTGTTGTTGCTTTCTGGAATCCTGGTTTATCAGAGAGCTTTCTCGAAGCAATGGACTCTGGAGGGATAAGCTGTGAATCACTGGGGGAGATGATATCGGAAGGCCTAAGAGCTGCGACTTATCAGACATACAGGAGAGCGTGTAGGTTGGGCATATTGGAAGCAGATTTAGCAGATTCTTTGGAGAAAGCCTTGGGAGATGCTGACAGCCTTTCTGAAGCTCATTCCGAGGAGTCATCAGAGATCTATTGGGATAGTGACTTGATGATTAACCTCGATGATTTGTAAGGCATGGCGTTTCTTATTTTTCCTTGATGCGAGAACCATGATGCTTAAATCTATATGCTGGGCAGAGTAGGGCGATGGACTGTGATCCTGTAACAATTTTGAGATTGGTTAGTGCCATCTTGTATTTGAGAGGCAAGTTTGACTTTATTGGCTTTAAACTGGCTTAAATACTTGAAAATTTGAGTTCATGAGGGCTGGGTTATTTGTTTAGTTCATCCAAAAAGAGAGAAAGGTCAGTTGTTGAGTGGCACTGTTGCTGAGTTGGAGGATAGTGTTACATAATTTCCCTTGGAAGAAACTGTTTTGCGTTATTGTCTTTTTTATTTGAAAAAAAAATAAATATAAAGAAAAAGAAAAAAGGCTGCTGCATTGATGTTGTAGAAAAACACATTCTTTTCATATATTTTTTTCTTTGGACTATCGGTGGAAAATTGATTCTACTTGTGTTAATATAGTTCAAAATAGTGAGATCTACAATTTTAGAGTCAATAAACTTTCTGAGTAAAGGGGATCTACCGTTTTAGATCAATAAAAATTAAGGTTGCGTTTGGTAAAGTATTATAAATATGATTTGAAAGTATGGATTGTATTTTAAGTTCGTGAGTTGTGAAATTATGATTTGAGTGTAGAAAATTTATTTGGTTATTATGTTTTTTTTTTAATAGAGTGTTGAATTGAGTTTTGAATTGGATGTGGAATTGAGTTTTGAAAGTTTGATTTGACATGTGACTTAAGAAAATTTGTTTGGTTATGAGTTTTGGAAAGAGTTTTCAAAACTTAATTCAAATTGTTATAACTTATAACAAAACACATTGCTTTCACACTATTGAAAATTCTGATCAATACTCATAACCGAACTCTTTTTAAAATTCAATTAAAAAAAATTATTATTAACAGAAAATAACATTAATCAATTTTTTAATTGAAAATACTACAAAGGAAATAATTTTTTTTCAAAATAAATATTCAAAAAATTTAAATCATATATATTTAAATAATCTAAAAAATTTAATAAGTAAAAAATTAAAATAAATATTCAAAAAATTTAAATCGTAAAAATTTAAATAATTTAAATATTGAAAAATTTTAAATAATTTAAAATGTTAATATTTTAAATTTGAAAAAACTCTACACTCAAATCGTAACCAAACATATAAAACAAAACTCAATTAAGAAATTATTTTTAAAACTCATAACCAAACACATAACTCGAAACTCCATACTACTTTTACAATTCTACACTCAAATCGTAACCAAATACATAACAAAAAAATTAAAATATTTAAAAATATTTTTATAAAATAGAGTTTGGATTTATTTTTATAAAATATTTTAAAATTAAAAAAATTAAAATCGTAATATTTTGAAATTAAAATATTTAAAAATATTCAAAAAATTTAAAAATTAAAAAAATCGTAATATATTTAAATATTAAAATATTTAAAATCTTAACAAAATTAAAATATTTTTAAAATATTTAAATATTTAAAATATTAAAATATTAATTTGAATTGAGTTTTGAAAAAAGTTTTGAATTATGTGTTTGGTTATGAGTTTTGAAAAGTAATAATTATATTTTGAATTGAGTTTTGAAAAATAAGTATAAAATTATGATTTGAAAGCCCAAAACAAATACCACATTCAAATCAATGGATGAAACTATAATTTAAGAGCCTTACCAACGGAGCCTAATATTCTCGCATATTTTTGTTTTGAGAGAAGATTCCTTGCATGTACACCATCCAATTAATCCAGCTTGAACTAGAATTCAGTTCTATCTTCAATTCAAAGATTTTACAAATGGGAAAAAAGTATTGTAACAAATTAACTAACCATCAAAATTTTATGTAAAATATACATGTAAAACATTAACTAGAATTCAGTTCTATCGTTTGTCAGTTACGCCGGCCGTTGGCAGACAGAGAGTCCACAATACTGTGGTTTAAGGTCACTTTGGTTCGTCGTTACTCGGCCTCGGCCCCTTGAAAGATCAGTCATCACGCATTACAGATGTTGACATGAACATTACTTCAAATACCACCACTTTGGCCTTGATTCTTTTGATTATCAGGCCAACTGAGAGAGCCAAGCTAACACTGAATTTAAGAAAAATGGCTGCGATCGCTTCAAATGTCGTCTTCTCTCTGCGAAAGCCCTTGTTTCGTACTTTTGCCTCGAATTCAAGCTTGTTTGGCAACAATTTTCTCGGAAAATCTTTGTCCGCTTCTGCTCAAACGAAACGATTTCATACGGCTCGGTTTTCAGGTTCGGCACCGATCAATGCGTCGTCCCATTCTTTCGATGTGGTCGTGGTTGGTGCAGGAATTATCGGGCTGACAATCGCCCGGCAGTTGATGCTGGAGTCGGATCTCTCCGTTGCCGTGGTTGACGCAGCTGTGCCCTGCTCTGGCGCTACTGGAGCAGGTTGTCTTTGGAAGTTTTGGCTTGTATGCTCTGTTTGGTTTCGTAGGAAGAGAATACATTTTATTTACGTAAGGGGAAATGTTAGGAATGATGAAATTTTTTTCATGAAAATGATCATGAAAAATTTGTAACTCTTAGATTACCTTGATTAGTGGGTAGTACTTTATTGTAAGTATAATCCAAAGGTCACAAATCTTTCATGACTATTTTCATGAAAAACTTTTCATGATATCTAACATTGCTGTTTACGTAAGTGGGGGTTTGATGGCCCTTCAATTATAACTTGTCATGTAATTATAACAAAGTTGGATAGACTAGTATATATTTATTAGATTGTTGTGTGGTGTTTTATCATTGTTTGATTGCGATGATATATCTGTTTTAAGTGATAGTAATGATACTATTGTTATGTTTAAGTTCTAATTTAATTTTTGCCAATTGAAAATAATAGTTTTACTTTAATTTGTCACTTCGGCAACTATGTGCCATTAGTACGGTTATTTTAAAAAAAAATATTTTTTCAATCAACGAAAAAATAAATTACATGTACTATCTCAAGATTACTACATAGTACCGTTTTGGAAAGTCAAGTAAAAAGTCACGTTTTTTATCCAAAGGAAAAAAAGTTAGCAGCCAAAAACGTAACAAAATTCATTTAGGGAGAGATAAAATTACAAATTGGGACTTATGACAAAAAAGTAAAAATAAATTTCTTATGTTAGGTAAGGATATTTGGTCATTTTAATTTGGTTTGATACCATAAACAAATATTAAACCAAAAAGTTAAAATTCAGCTTTTTACCAACTTTCCAAATCACTTTCCAAAAAGTTAAAAAGCTTGGTAAAAAGTCAAAAGTCAACTTTTTATTAATTTCTCAAAACACCCAATAATTTATTCAATTGATAGATTATTTGATGTAATTTATATGAGTTATTTGTGTAAGACTATTTGAGACAACTTTTAATTATAATTTATAAAACAAAAATAATTTAAATAAACAAAAAAATTATTTATTTAAAAAGCGGAAAAAAATGATTTGAGTTTTATTTTTTAATTAACAACTTTCAACCATTGCACCAAACCAACAAGTATGGTTGCGTAAAATATCGCATAATCGATTAAAATTGCATCAATATGTCTCAATTTATATCGCTTTATTTGCTAATCACGGATTAAATTTTAAAATTTATAATTTGCTATCGAAACCGTTCCGTTCCGGTGTAATTAATACATATATATTTCTTAATCTCTAATTAAATGAGTGCGAGAGAAATTTAATATGTGAAATTTGTTACAAATTAGTAGTTATATATATAACTGTGTGGGTGAAAATCTGACCACACTGCCCGTCTAGTGATCAGCTGGAGAATATGTGAAATTTGTTACAAATTAGTAGTTATATATATAACATATTAAGTAAAATTAATTTGTATTATATAAATAAAAAATATTATGTAAATATTTAATAATTAATTAAAATATTTTTCAATTTACCAATCTACCTAAAATTACAATTTGCCAATCAACATCTAATTTATAATTTTACACTTAAATCACTCCAACCGTATCATGCACACCACTACCAGCAAGAGAGTTGGGCCCATAGGTTGCACCGACCGAACAAGATAGTCCACATTATTACTTGGGCTTGGGTCCTTGATTGATCAGATAGCGCATTAGAAACGTTGACCTCCACTCCACTTCGCTCGGGGACTTTGATCACCGGACTCTGCATTAGCAATCACAAAGCTGCGTAGCTTCCCCTAAAACTGAAACCACGCTAGTATAGTGCCACGAGTGTAATAGAAATGGCTTCGATTGCTTCAAATGTCACTCCAAACCCTAACCCCAACACGAACGTGGTCGTCTTATCCCTCCGGAAGCCATTGTCGTGTACTTTTGCTTCGAATTCAAGCTTGTTTGGTAACAAATTTATCGGAAAATCTCTCTCCGCTTCAATCCAAAGGAAACGATCCGATACGGCTCGGTTTGCAGGTTTAGCCCCGATCAATGCGTCGTCGTCGTCCCATTCTTTCGATGTGGTTATAGTCGGTGCTGGAATCATCGGGATGTCAATCGCCCGGCAGTTTCTGCTCGAGTCGGATCTTTCCGTCGCCGTGGTTGACGCAGCTGTGCCTTGCTCTGGCGCTACTGGTGCTGGTAATATTTCTCTTGGAGTTTTCGCTTGTATTTTCTGTTTGGTTGCTTAGAAAATGTAGGAAAAGAAGAGAACATAAACTAGCATGGTTGGGGAAAGGTTGAGTGTTCAAAAGTGAGTCCGCAAAGAAATTTTTTTTTTTTTTTGAAGATGCCATGGTTGGCTACAGTTTGGTTTCTGAAGACGACTCTGTTGTTGACATTATGACTTATGAATTGGTAAATACATACACTACACGTTGGGATGTCCATGTACTTCATTGATAATTTAAAATATTAGAGCATGAAAATTGCATATATTTGTAAACGCTCAAAAGTAGGAAAAGAAATTAGCAGAGAGAAGAAGGTTGCAGCATGTAGTGTGATTAAATAGGAGATGCACTGAATGAGGTAGTATTTGCAAATATAAGAAACTAAAGAGGCAGGCATTATACGGAGAGTGGGACGAAGTAACAATATGTTCTTTACTTCTATTCAACTGTTTGTCAACGTATACATGTTTGTATTGGCAATTTGTATTGAGGTATCTTTTGATAGTTGAAACAACTCACTTGTGACATTTCTTTTCCCTAATGTTAAATTAAATATCTGGACGATCCATGCCAATAGAGATTCATATCAGCCAATGTAAGACCATTTATTTATTAATGCTTTGGAAAAGTGATTAATTCTATTCTATGTTTGTTATTGGTTCATGCTATGTTTTTTGAGGCATCCAATAGCATCATGGTTGGTTGAATTTGATTAAATGTTCAACAATGTGAACACAGTTCATGCAAGCTCGGTTTTTTATATTTCTTAAAGATTCTCAAAAAATGTTCACGTAGAATGAATTCTTATAAAATATGGTTGGCTTGTCATTAGTCACAAAATGTCTCAAGGTTAGCGTGAGGGTCCTCATTTTTTTAATCATGACCTTGATAGGTTTGAATAGATTTGAAGTGCATGAACAATTCTGGTCAAGCCAGTGAAGGAAAAAAAAATGCTCAGGCTCTCTATTCAGTGCATGCTTCTTTTTTCTTGAATCTGATTGGTTGTTGGATCTCTTCTCCTCTGCCATTTCGGCTGGTTCTAGGGCAGGGCTATTTATGGATGGTTCACAAAGAACCTGGGAATGATAAATGGGAGCTAGCAATGAGAAGCCGTAAACTGTGGGAGATGATGGCAGAGAACGTACAGCAGCAAGGCATGAATCCTTTGGAGATACTCGGTTGGAAGAAGACAGGTAATCTTATTTTCTTGAGTTAATATAGTACCCTGTAATATAGTGCAAAATTAACTCAGGTTTTTCTTCTTCTTTTCTAGCATTTTGTCTTATATTTAACTTTCACTACCCTTGGAGATCAAGTGAGTTTTAAGTAAAGCATTGATGTTGATTAGTTAGTACACTAGTCCAAACCAAAGCTCATTACCCTCAGAACTATCAACCTTACAATTTCTTTCCTTTCTTTTATTTTTTATTTTTTAATTTATTTGGAGCTTTTATTTTTTTACTTTCACTAGTCCAAAGGTTATTTTTTTACTTATTTTTGTTCATTAATTGTACCTATATATTGATAGAATTTAGAACGAAAAATTATTTAAAACTTTGACCCCGGTATAAGTAAATGTTCTTGTTTTTTTCCCCTTTACATCGGCATGATGATTGAACTTAGGGATTTATCATGTCGTCCCAACTTTATCCAATCGCAGCTAATTCTCAAAGCAAATAGGAAAATGTTTCCTACTATGGTAGTGTGGTTGTGGTGTTGTTGATAACAAAGAACATATATTGTATATTTTGAATGAATCTCTGAGTACAAATATATATATATATATATATAACCTAAATGAAATAAACCCTAATAATCTAATAGACGAAACTACCCTAAATAACTAATATAAAATACAATAAAAGACACAATCTTCACACCTCCCATCAGACTGAGGATGTGAGCACAGAAAGCATTAAAAGTTTACCAAGAAGAAAACGAAAACGAGTAACAGTGTGAGTCTTCGTAAAAAAATCAGCCAACTGAAGAGAGGAGGGAACAAAAGGGAGAGCAATAGTGCCAGTCTGAAGATTTTGTCGGACAAAATGACAATCGATTTCAACATGCTTGGTCTGCTCATGGAAGATTGAATTATGGGCAATCTGAACAGCACTTTGATTATCACAATACAACGGAGTCGGATCAGAAAGAGAGACACCCATATTGGAGAGAAGCTAACGAAGTCAAACGATCTCGGAAGTAGCATAAGCCACGGCGCGATACTTAGCCTCAGCGGTGGAACGAGTAACAACAGATTGTTTCTTACTTCCAAGATATGAGAGAATTGCCGAGGAAAACACAAAGACCAGAAGTGGATTTGCGATCAGAGATGTCACCTACCCAATCAGTGTCAGCATAGGCACAAAGAGTCAAGTCCGAAGAGGCAGATAACAGCAAACATTGCAACAAAGTGCCTCGAAGGTAGCGCTGAGTATGGAGTAAGGTAGCCTAGTGTGTGGAACGAGAGGCAGAAACAAATTGACTGAGAATGTGCACAACATAGGATACATTTGGACGAGTAACGGTGAGATAAACAAAGCACCCAACCAACTCACGATATAAAGTGGGATCCTCAAGAGGAACGCCATTGGAAGCAGAAAACTTAGCATGCAACTCAAGAGGAGTGTCGACAATTTTGTCATCAGTGAGATTGGCACGAGAAAGAATATCACGAGCATATTTAGTCTGAGAGAGAAGATACCCAGTAGGAGAAGTAGCAACCTCAATATTAAGAAAATACCGAAGAGACCCCAAATCCTTCATCTCGAACTCCTGAAACAACTGATACTTAACCTCCTCAATAGTACTACAATCAGAGCCAGTGATGATCATATCATCCAAATATAAGAGAAGGAGAACTAGGCTAACAGAATTACGACGAACAAATAAAGCACAATCGTGATGACTAGGGCAAAAAATCAAGCCAAAGTGCAATAGAGTGAAATCGCTCATACCAAGCACGAGGAGATTGCTTGAGACCATAGAGAGCACGATGAAGACGACAAAGCACACCAGGAGGGTGAGAGACTAAGAAGCATAGATATGGATACGAGATATGAATACGGCACGATACAGATATGGCGATACGACAAAACCTAAAAAAATAGGGTACTTGTACGGCTAGGATACGTTTGTGAAAAATATATTTTTAAAATTATTAATAGTGAGTTACACATAAGTTAAAGAGCGTTGAAAAATCACAATGTAATTTTATAATGCAAAATACTAATCTATAAGAATTTTGTATTAATTTAAGCTAGTAGCTTGTTTACTTTTTAAATTTTTAATAGGTCTTGCAAATATTTCATTTCAATATTAAGTTTAATATATTTATATTATAATAATAGAACAATTCACAACTTGTCCCTATGCTTTTTCCTTTGACACTAGTGAAAAATATTGTATTCAAGTTTACTTGCTTATTTATTTATTGATATTTAATTTTACCATTGTTATATTCTCTTGTTAATTCCTATTTTTTATGTTATATGGGACGTGCATGAAATAATTAGGATACATCAATTTAATAAATTCTATTATTTAACTCACTATGCTCTTCTTATCGAAGAACTTAACAAAGTATTAGAAAAATATTCTTATATTTATACTTGTAATTATATTATATTACTATGCAAGAAATGTTACAATTCTAATTTCATAAAACAAGTAAACATGACTTGGAGTATCCGATACTTCAAAATTAAGTATCCGATACGTATCCGCGAGTATCGGAATCCGATATGGATACGATACGGATACGTCATCTTATTTGAAGTATCCGTGCGTCATAGGTGAGAGAGACCTGGTGGAGGGCACATGTACACTTTTTTAGCAAGATGCCCATTCAGAAAAGCATTTTGACATCGAGTTGAAACAAAGGCTAGTGATGGGCAGCAGCAACAGAGGTAAGAGTGTGAACGATAGTCATCTTGGCAACGGGGGCAAAAGTCTCATCGTGATCAATCCCATACTCCTGAGAAAAGCCTTGGGCAACCAAACGAGTCTTGTATCGTTCCAAAAAACCATCAGAAAGGATTTTGACTTATAGACCAATTTACAGCCTGCAACATTTTTGTCAGCAGGTAATGGAACCAAATCCCAAGTCTGAGTATTAGCTAAAGCAGTTAACTCGTCATTTATGTTAGCAATCCAATTGGGATCATGACAAGCTTCCTTGTAGAACCTAGGCTCAAAATAAGTATGGAGACAAGAAAGAAAAGACTAATAGGAAAGAGAAAAACAAGTATTACTAAAACCATACCAGTTCGGAGGATGACGGTCACGCGTTAGAAAGTGATGTGCAGGAGGAGCGGGATCTAAAGAAACAACTGGAGGGACGGTAGAGCTAGAGACGGGAGAGCTCAGAAGTGCTTTGCGGCGCTGATAAACAAAAAGAGGAGCAGGGGAAGCGGATGGTGGAAAGGGAGTAGCTGGCGAGATATTAGAAGTACTAAGAAGAGGCAAGGTAGAGATCTCAATACCAGAAACAAACTCATCGGGAGAAACATCAGTAGGAAATGGGTCAATATGAACCAATTCATCCTTGGTAATAGGGACAGGGGAGGGAGGTATAGTGTAGTACGGTAGTTTTTTTAAAAAGGTAACATGCCTAGACACAAAAAGTTTTTTGGTGGCAGGATCATAGCACCGATAACTTTTCTGATTAATGTCATACCCTAAAAAGACACAGGACACAACGAGAACTAAGCTTAGAGCACTCCCGTTTAGGAAGGAGCACAAAGCATGCAGAACCAAAAACACGAAGAAGAGAATAATTAGGAGTAACACCAAGAAGACGCTCATTCGGAGATGAGCTGGAGAGAAGAGGAGTAGGCATCTGATTGAGAAGATATGTAGTAGTGAGCACAACTTCTCCCTGTAGACGTCCCCGAACGCCCCGGGAGGAACGAGTCCCCCGTTCCGTTCGATATTGGGCTCACTACAGTTCGGACTCTCAATTTGTCACGGTTCTAAATCTGAACCAAAGAGTCCAAATCCGGCAAATCGTTTTGAGAAAACAGATTTTGAAAGAAGTGCCAAACATGGACTGCTTTGCCAGATACAGAGTCGCCACCTAAATATTTTATTTTGGAAAGAATTTAGGAAACCCTAACTTGTGCCTAAGGCCACGTGTCCGTCATCACCAAAGTTGCCTCGGCCTCGGGAACTTGGGTACGATTGGGGAAGGTCACTTCGTGAGCACCCCCGCTCGCCCGATCAAAGATCGGCCTTTTAAACCATGATATCTATTTTTGAAAACATTATGCGTTCTTATTCCGTTATTAGCTAGATTTACTATGTGATGCGCACAGCATATAAGTATAGACTGGATCGCCTGAATTGGAACAAAACATTTCATGTTTGTTTGTTGAAAAATGGTTTGATGGTGCTACTCGCAAGTAGGCTAGACGTGGATTTGCCACCCTCAGGTGGCTTAGGAAAACTGATTTTGCCACTATCTAGTGCGGCTTTAAAACACACACTGAAATGAATTGTTCCATTGCAAATAACCCAACTTCACCCATAGGCATTCAGGCAGTTATACACATAGCAATCTCAGCCTCTGGTAAGCATGCTATCATGGCAGTCACTCACACGCATGCGGAGGATCTAAGCATATAAACTTACGAGTACTTCAAGCCAAAATTAGAAACTAATTAGAAATCCATGCATGATCCTAATTATCAGAAATTGCCTTAATGCAACAACATGCAAAAGTGCAATATAGGCAGGCTCGGCTATTCTAAACATGGCCAATATGAAATGCTTACAGCTAAATGTATTCACTTGGAATTGAAAATTCAATTTTTGCAGTTAGATATGATGCGCCAAGCCCGGTGCATGCAAGACAGATGAATGATGGCAAACATGCTATCATACTGTATAGCTAATTGAAACATGCACCTGAAATCTAACCATCAAAGCGGGTAAATAAAAGGGAGAAAGACGTGGGGTTGGAAACATACATCACACACCGCACACTTATTACAGTTGTGCCCTCCTCGAAGGTCCGAATAAATTAATATACAGTCCCAAATGAAATTACAATGTCCGAATAAATTACAGATCCCTAATTAATTAACAATTAATCTCAGGAAGCGATAAACTAGCATGCAAAGCCATGGACTGCCTTCGGCTTTGTTCCGAATGATGAATGATGCATGCCCCGGTGCCATTTGTCGGAACATACCTT